TTGGGTTGTGCCGGCCTGGTGGCGTCGCCGCCGCCGTCTGTCACAACTTTGGCCGGCTGGTGGTGCCGGGGTGGGGTGGCGGTTTTGTGGTCGAAGCAGGCGGCCTCTACAATAGTTGCGCCTCTGCTATTTTGGCGTTCTACAAGTTGTTATCCTTTGCGAAGCGCTTTGCTTTGGCACCGCGTCGGGGTGACCGTCATTGCCTTGTCGAGGAAAGCCAGGGGCCAGTGACGTTTTTCTTTTGGAAGACCCGTTGGCCCTTAGGCTACGGCGCTGTAAAGCACCGGGACCAACCGTGTCGTGCTGTGGCAGAAATATATCCAAGAAGGTCCTGGGGCACGTGTCGACGTGCTATCGGCAGTATCACCCGCACCAGGTTACTGCTGAGTGGTGTCTGATGTAGGGGAAAATCCCAGCCCTTCACTGCGAAGAATGCAGTGGAACACAGCTGGACTTATCCAGGCCAAGAGGCTTGCTCTCCAGAAAAACCTTTCTTGAGGAGAATGTGACATTCTGCCTTCTAAGCGAGAAGAAATTATCTTGTGCGGAAGTGTCGAGTTTCACAATCGCTGGTTACCAACATCATGGAGTGTCCCACCCCTCTAAAGGAGGTGGCGTTTTGATTTACCGCGCTATGCACTAAACAAAGCAACAGACCCTGACACCTGCACTGAATGCGGGGCGCAATACTCATGCAGGAACACCGCAGTACAACATAAGGTCAACAAACACATAGGTTCAAGAGAACCAATGCGCTCTGGAAGATCAAATTCCCCCATGAGCCACCTCCGCCGGACATCCCGCCAGAACCCCCGCCACCTTCACAACCCCCACCTCCGGCCACAACGTTGCCCCGTCCCACTTCGACCCAAAGCAAAACAACACCCGTTTGCCTGCAGTATGTGTAAACGAACATTTCCGCTTCACAATGGATTAACGCGCCACATCAGACACATGCGCCATGCCAAATGCCCTGTCCCAGAGAGAGAAAACGCCCGCGAGCCGACGAACCGATTACAGAAGGATCAGAATCCCCCTGTGACAAATGTGATATGGTAGCGCGCTCCAAAACAGGCCTCAAATCTCATATTAGAGCACGGCATCCTGAGAACCCCCAAAAAGACGCACCTCGCATCCAACTCATCCCACAACCTGCTTCACTACGATGCGAATTTTGTCTACGCGACTTTGGCAACATTGGTGGTCTCGCCTGCCACAAAACGTTTAAACATCCTCCTGGAACCCCAATTCTGCCAGCAACAATACAAGTAACGTTTCCGCGCAATAAGAAACGCCAGCGAGATACGTCGCCGCCGGAGCGTGAGAGGACAGAGAGAGAAAGTCCAATGTGGAGTATGCCAGAAGTTCTACGCCCACCTAGACTCCCTCGTAATCCACTGCTGAAA